ATGAGACGACCAGGAGAGATCAGCAGATAGAATGATGCCTAAGTATTTAATTTCCGACTTGGTTTCTATTTCAGTGCCATCTTTGTTGCACACCTCGTGAGAGCTAACCAGTTTGTTTAGGTCGGATTTATGCCTAAAGGTGAAATTGAATGTTTGGCATTTCGAGGGGTTTAAGGTAAGACCATTTTCCTTGGACCACTGGCTGATTTCTGACAGAAAGCCATTTAGTTTAGAGCAGTCGCTTTGACATTTGACAGGCAAAGATACAGTCAGGTCGTCATCATATTTGACAAAATTGATGTCATTTGAAGATGGTAAGTCATTTTGAAAGAAAGAAAAGAGAAGTGGGGAGAGTACAGCGCCTTGGGGAGCTCCGGCTTCAGTGAGTACAGCAGAGGATGATTTACCTTTGTACACGGTGTACTGCTTTCTGTTAGAGAAGTAGAAATGCAACCAGTTAGTGACCCAGGACTCAGTTTTTGTCAAAGAGAGCTTATTTAGCAGAAGTGAAGTCGAGAAACGTGCATCTTTATCTTGTGATGAGACGATGTTGTTGTGTGAGTTTTAGGAGTTCTTCAGCCGAGAATCAAACCTAGCCTTCATGGGTTGTTGGTTGGCATTCCATTACTATACCACTGATGCATACGCACACAATGATACATCCACTGACTAGGTGATTATACATTAGTTTTCAGGAAAACCGAACCCACTCATGGCAGCTTCTTGCAAGACCAAAATGGCGTGTGGTATCATCCTGCGGTACAACCACTCGACAGCCCTCTTCCTAGGTGGACCACCAATCAGTGGTACATGTTGCTTATTCTTGCCATTGTTATTATCTCTGTTATCTTTGTTAGTTAAATGTTATAAGAATATTATTGATGACTAGTCCGTGTGATCTAGTTATTAAGTTGACAGTCCGTCCGTCTGATTTTATGTCAGCGTTTCATCTTGGTTAGGAATTGTAAGCTATGCGTACCAGTATCATATTGAATGATATTGTTCCCTTGTGGGAGTCGAAGCAAATATTCATCGTCTCAAAGTTTATAGTGTTATCCAATGGGCTTGTAATCTATGAAAACTATCTCCTATACAGTAATAACTGTTTTCTGTCTGGCGTATACACCTGAATGATATCAGTGGTAAGAAACTATTTACCCAAGGCGGTAGTGTTTACTAGGTAGCTAGAAGTAACCGAAATACCTAAAGTTCGTTCTCTTCTTCAATGACTAGGCTCATCAGTGGTGTCACTGACTGAACGCAGTTTAGAGGACCGTATTCGTTTGTCCCCTTTTTTTCTTGTTTTTTTCGTTCACTGGATGATTAGTGAAAGAATTGAAACTATTGACTCTTTGAAAGGATGACTGATAAAATGGGTTGTTCTACTATCGATTTGAATTTTATTCAGTTGTTAACAGTGGAAATTTGTGTATTGTGAATCAATCTTACACTTTTAATCTACTAAAGTTTCGTAGTATTATCACCAGGATTGATTTGATTGGTTAGTATTATTGGTTAGTTTTAGCGGTTTTCAACAAATGATATATTGTGTCCCTCTAATGAACACTATCAACCTGAAAGCAGTTTGGAAATCTTCTACACTCAGCACAAGGAACAAGATTTGCATTTTCAACACCAGTGTGAAGTCGATTCTTCTATTAGGGGCCAGAAACTTTGCGTGTCACGAAAAGGATTTCCAACAAGTTGCAGACTTTCATTAACAGCTGCCTTCGCCGGCTTCATACTGAAGATCGAATGTCCAGAAAGAATAAGCTATAAGAAACTATGGGAGAAAGTGGATATGGATCGGGCATATATTGAGGAGGCCGCTGAATGACATCGTGTGTTACCAAGGCCATTGCTCGACTGGAATCCAAATGGGAAGCGACGAGTGGGTCGTCTATGTGAGAGTGACATGGAGGAGATTGTGTGAGGAAAAGATGAGAGAGTTTGGTCAGTCGTGGACCTAGCTGAAGAGGACGGCAGAAAACAGAAGAAAGTGGAGATGTGTTGCTTAAGCCCTATGTTCTACTTGGAACGCAAGGGAATAATAATAATGATGAACACTATCCTTCGAAGTGAGGACAGGAGTAAGACAAGGCTGCCTACTATCGCCAATGATTTTCCTGATTGCAGTAGATTGGATAATGCGACAAACAGCGGGAAATGAGGAAACAGGCATAAAATGGACTCACACAAAAACTTGGAGGATCTGGACTTCGCCGATGATATATGTCTGATTTCCCACAAACTGGAAGATATGCAAGTGGAAAGCAACAAGTTGGCAGAAGAAGCATCAGAGAAGATAGGACTTCAGGTGAACATAGAGAAAACAGAGGTGATGAAGATTCCTGAGCAACACCACCGACAACAACAACAACAACAGACAACGATCAGCATAAATGGAAGGAACCTGAAAGAAACAACCTCTTTTACCTACCTGGGAAGCATCGTTTCGACTACAGGCAACGGAACTGACGAGGATATCAAAGCAAGGATCGGGAAAGCAAGACAAGCTTTCATTTCTCTCAAGTCTGTGTGGAGGTCAACAGCACTCAGCATCAAAAATAAGATCCGGATTTTCAACTCCAATGTGAAGTCAGTGCTACTATACGGATCAGAGACTTGCACTGCGCGTCATAAAGAGCATCTCAAACAAACTACAGACCTTCATTAACAGCTGTCTTCGCTCAATACTCAAGATCAGATGGCTGGCCAGAAAAGATCAGCAACAGAGATCTCTGGCAATGAGCGAACCAACCAGGAACCGATTATGCAACAAATATGGAGGAAGAAATAGAGGTGGATTGGCCATACTCTGAGGAAACCATCAAGTGACATCACTAGACAAGCCATTGCTCGAGTGGAACCCGAAAGGGAAGCGGCGAGTTGGTCGTCAGTGCAAGGGTGACTTGGAGGAGGTCATGTGAAGAGGAGATGAAAACGTGTGGGCAGACTTGGAGCCAGGTGAAGACTTTAGCAGAGAACCGAACGCAATGGAGACGCACGGCTGAAGCCCTATGTTCCTCTAGGAATTAAAGGAAACAATAATAATAATCTTAACTGTATAACGTAAAAAATTGTACTTTATTTTACTCTGTTATTTATTCAGTCTTCATACCTATAAACTTTTATTTTCAATCAAAATGATTATTTCGAATGTTTAGGTATTCAATTACAAAAGACTTCTTAAGTCAATATACATCATACGCTGTATTATTTGTTAGATTATATGGATGGAAGTAACGTGAAACTTCATTGTGACAAGATAACAAAAACGAGCACTGATTCATGAATTAATGTAAGCAGAGAATTTAGGGGGAGGGTACTGTTACTCTCTTTAATCCTGTTAGGTTCCGAGTGAAACATAAGGCTTCAGTAAGCATTTCCCCAATTTCATCTTATCCTCTGTAATCCTCTCTAGATGGCTCAACACTTACCCATAAACACTCTAGTAGAATAAAATTACATATTAGATAAGTTAATACGATAAAACACACAATAAAGATAGAATGTGTATACTAGATGATTTTTGGAGCACATTTTATTGTTTATAACCATACCTCATGGTTGGATATCTTCAAGTTATGTTAAACAAGCCGTATCCGCTGTCACATTTATGGTGAGATCGATGCTCATCAACGGCTTTCGATGCCTCTAGGTTCATATAACGAATCCATAGAAGTTAGAATTCACAGGTTACTGAATTCCACCGACCCAGTAAGTGAATATTCAACTGGTTGGTCTCGTAACATAAAGATTCTTGACACTATGCCTAACGGTGACGTCATGGTTTGAGCACTGCTGAAACTTTTGAAAACTAGGATGAAACAAGTGTATATTATTACTCCTTGGTTTTTAGTTACTCTCTGACTGATATTGATTTTAAATCATGGAAAATTCCCATTGTAACATATAGAAAATCAAAACAAATGATTCAGCGAAGAGACTCTTTTCAACGAATTTATCATCAAGCTGTACAATCGTATATATATGGTTTTTAAGAAGTTATATCCGGTGAGGGAATTGAATCATAGGTGTGAATGCATAAAATAATAATAATATGAAATGCAATTAAAACTAAAATGTTTGTGATTATAATCGTAGTTAAATGTCAAGTGGCAAAGCAAATTAATGTCATATATAGAATAATTCATAGGATGGATAGAACTTGAAAAAGGGTGTGCAATTATAAGATTAGTAGACAAGTCGAATAAAATAAAAACGTTACGTAATATTGTGTGAAATTTAATAGCATAGAATTTAATGTTGTAAAAAGGAATTGATTTAGAATGACAAGTGGAACAAGTGAAATAATACCGGGGACAGTTCAAAGTGAGAATAGTATAATAGTAACAATTGACGTAATAAGGAAGAGTATACAAATTGAATAGACAAAAATGAAAAATTGGTAGAGCTAAAATATGATTGGGGATTACCATACTTTAGCATAGAGGGATTAAGACCATGAAAGTTGGAGGGGTTGAACGAACGTTTTCTGTACACAGAGATCTGACTTTTCTGTTTCGATAGCCAAAGATGGCTTTAGCAATACAGATGAGTCGGGTACGTAGGGATTTGGGTAAATTACTCTTTGCCTTGTAGATGACTTTGAAGGCGGAGGCTATAGAGATAGGGTGATCATTATCGACCAGATGTTCAATGATCGCGCTTCTTATTGCTTCACTTCCACCTTTTCGTAACTAACATGCAGGAAAGTGTTCTTGCACCCTCTTGAAGAAAACTCATGTAGAACGACCGATATACCTAGCTTCACACAAGCAGGTGAATTGATTTGTCAATAACTCCAGAATAGAAGGAATCCGTTTCTTTTAAAATCTGAAAGAAAAAGAAAGCTCCTGGTGTCCAGTGTTCTCAAATATTTACCATTTTTCTTCTCAAGATTGATATTTCATCAGATTGTGAAATGAATCATTCTTCTGTTGCATTAAAGTTTCGTTTTTTCTCTCTCTCTCTCCTTAATTCATTCCATCTAATAGGTGATTGTTGGCTATTGGCAGCTATCGCATGTTTATCAATGCATAAAAATCTATTTGAACAAGTTGTATCAATTGATCAAAGTTTCACTAAGGAATACTGTGGTCTATTTCGTTTTCATTTTTGGCATTATGGAGAATGGAAAGAAGTTGTTATCGATGACCGTTTACCAACACATCGTGGTTCACTTGTCTATATACATTCAACTGAAAAGAATGAATTTTGGTCTGCTTTGTTAGAGAAAGCATATGCAAAGTAAGCCGGATACTCCTCTCTATCTCTGTGTGTGTTTATGCATTTGTGTGTGTGTGTGTGTGTGTGTGGTTCATCAGCCTTTCTAATTCCCAGTCAGTTTTACAGAACTGCATCGTTGTAAAGACTGCTGACTGAATTTCAATGCATAACTTTTCACAGAAGTGTAAAAGTTCAAGTTGCCGCACTTTGTGTATCACACAAATAGCTTGAGAAAAGAATTGAAGAAATTCAGAAGAACTAAAATGGACAAAAATGGGAAATAATACTTGAAGAGAATAACATGTAAATTTTATGGATATGGCAGATTACAAAGTGTGAATCCATCTCAGCCAATGAGAAAGATTTTGAACCATATCACCAATATTTAATTGAATTTTGGATTTTCCCGTCGATTGATTGGACCGAAGTGCTCGGTCTCAGGTTGACATGTCGGCTTCTTGAGCAGATGCTTCGACTATGTCTGGGCATTTAATTAGTTTTTAATTGGTGGATGAAGACTAGCAGTGGAATCCAGGATGCGCATTTCGTCCTGTTTGGGACTCGTCGGGTGAGTGATGATCTTCCCACCGAGGATCGAACCCAGTGCCCATGGTTTCAAACGCCAAAGTGGTCTAGTGGATAACGCAGGTACATCCAGATGACGAGTCCAAAATAGGACGAAATGCGCATCCTGGATTCCACTACTAGTCACCATCCACCAATCAAAAACATATCACCAATAGTCTCAAGCCATTGGTTCTTAACTTCTCAAGGACCTTTTATTAGTCAATCTACACTTCACTATGTGGCTGATTCAAACCAATAGTCAAAGACTTCAAGAACTGATGTCAGGTTCTGATTGGATCACTTCCAACACTTTCACAAACTTAACCTGTTGTAGCCAACATTAATCTGGGGAAAAAGGCAGTGCCTTGGCATGTGCAATTGAAAATTATAATAATAATAATAATTTGCTTTATTCCAAAACAGTACTTGTGATACAGAATGGAATTTTCAGCATTTTTACTACAGTATTGCATCCAGTTAGTACATTATCAATAATTAGAATTCTACACAGATTAAGCAAATCTCAGTTCATTATTACAACAACATATTGGCATGCTGATAGCAAAGCCAAAGTTGAACATTGTTTGAAGGTGTTAGAAAAGTAGGTGATGTCATATTTACTGGCGTAAGCGGAAGAAAGAAGCAAAGCAGCACATAATAGAAAAAAGAGAAGGAGAGAGAAAAGTAAAAGAAAGTAAGAAAATGTTGTACCTATAAATGATATGAGTTGGAAAGATGACGTCTAGTTGTTCTACTGACTATTTAATAAATTATAGGTGTCACGCCTAATGCTTTCTTTATCACACAGAACACGAGCTAAGTAGGGTATGGTTGAGATTTTGTACTTGCTAGTGCGAGCATATAGTTTTCTATATAGGCTTCTGGTTTTGCCTGATGAGATGCAAGGGGAGAGTTGTGAATGAAGAGGGTGGTGTGAGTTAGATAAAATGGATTTAGCCCATTTTTCACATGAGTCCATGTACCTGTCAACCAGAATATTAACAAGCTGGTTAAGTGGCACGTTGCTTACCCTGCTGACAACATTTAACATCCTGCGTAATATGATGTTATAGTCTTTCTTCAGTAGCCCAGGAAAAACTAAGGGGGAACAATAGAGAATAATAGGCAGAATGCGAGAGTTAACGAATTGTAGGAGTAAGGGTTGAGTTATACCAGAATGTTTTAACTTCTTGATGTAGAAGGTAAGACGGAATATTTTCTTAGAAATCGCCAAGATATGAGACGACCAGGAGAGATCAGCAGATAGAATGATGCCTAGGTATTTAATTTCCGACTTGGTTTCTATTTCAGTGCCATCTATGTTGCACACCTCGTGAGAGCTAACCAGTTTGTTTAGGTCGGATTTATGCCTAAAGGTGAAATTGACTGTTTGGCATTTGGAGGGGTTTAAGGTAAGACCGTTTCCCTTGGACCACTGGCTGATTTCTGACAGAAAGCCATTAAGTTTAGAGCAGTCACTTTGACATTTGACAGGCAAAGATACAGTCAGGTCGTCAGCATATTTGACAAAATTAATGTCATTTGAAGATGGTAAGTCATGTAGAATGAAAGAAAAGAGAAGTGGGGAGAGTACAGCACCTTGGGGGACACCAGCTTCACAATCTCATCAATTGATTTTCCCGCCTAACCTAACACTCAATGCCTAACACCAATATTACTCATCATTTTATATCACACTACGGGAGATAAAGCTCACATATCTGTGTTGAAAGAAAACCAACCTTTTCAGATCTTTCATTTGCAGTTGCAATGCTTCACAGACATAAAGAGGGAGACAGCGAACTGCTGCACATTACACATGTCGTCTGCCGATAGCCAACTGGAAATCACGTCTACAAGAAAGATGAAGTAATTTCAGGATTTTATCATGAGCTAACATTAGTTAGAGGACCATTGGAAAACCTGGGAGAACTGGATAGCTGTTTCGTCCTAGTTCGGGTCTCTTCATCAGTGCGCACCCACCGGGACTCGAACCCAGGACCTTCTGGTTACAAGGCGAGCTCGTAGACCATTAAGCCACTGGGACCCGATCCAATGACCCATGAATTCTAACTTCTGCCAATTCACGACACAGCGCAACCCCTAGCCAATATCTTTGGCGAGTATTTGTCACCACAACCAACCTGCTGCACCCTACTGGTCACGACTTCTCACTAGAACCCCAGGTAACTACCTAACTGAATAGGGCAAGTCGCATGATGAAGTAAGTCGACGAATGTCACATGAGTTGTCTGAATCATGCTAAGATTTCTGTCAGCAATCAGTCTACTAAGATTGATGCGGTATTTCCCAGTAAGCAAAGTGGTCAATATATACCATACCATTTCATTCCCTATCTTTAATACAGAAGCGAATCACATACCAAACATTCGAAGATTTCTGCTCGATGATGTTCAGAAGACTCCTCATTTTGCCAGTATCAGGGTTTTTCTGTTGAGAACACTTTAAGCATAACCGGCAGGATTTGATTACCATATTCAGGACGAGTGACCTACTAGGCTGTTTTGCATTTGATGATCTATTTATATAAACGACCTACTGTATTCTGTCTTACGACTCTGAAACAAGACTCGTTGAAGTAAGACGATGTGACAAGGCTACATACTTACGGACACAGAGATCTTTTAAATAGAATGAGTCCTGCAAGAATACAGTGAATAGTGTTAACATCAGATTTAAATATGAAAAGTGCAAAAGAGTGTTGCTTTAAAAAAAAATTTGTTTTCACATCGTTTTCTAATTATTTTTGAAATGATTTCAGTGTCGGACAGCATGAGGCGCTTGTTTGTTTGTGTTTGCTTAACTGCGTGTGTTTCTTTTTGAGATATAATCAGATTTCGTATTGATGCAAATATGTGACCGGACCAATTGGTCTAATTTGGTATGTAAGCTCTATATTTCGTCCAATTGAGGACTCGTTAGCTAGACACACTTACTCCCCAGTGAGTGGTGGTGTTCCCATGGAAACCTGAGCTGCATTACACATCACTTGAAATGCCAAAGCGTTATCTACTAGTTTCATAAGGTTTGATTCTTGAGCATAATTACGACGTGGACTGATTTCATGTTGTCCCAGAAATGATGCTCAATGTAGTCTGTGTCATTCATGAGTAGTGGTCAAGCTGTGTGGAAGTTTTGACTACACGGATCACAACTAAAAATTTGCATTAATTATGTTAGACTGTCATAGTCTGCTAATGACCATCAATTGGAACGATGTAGTGTCCTAATGAAACCCTTATTATTATTATTATTATTATTATTATTGCATCCTTTAATTCCTAGAGGAACATAGGACTTCAGCCGTGCGTCTCCATTGCATTCGGTTCTCTGCTAGAGTTTTCACCTAGCTCCATGTCTGCCCACACGTTTTCATCTGCTCTTCACATGACCTCCTCCAAGTCACCCTTGCACTGACGACCAACTCGCCACTTCCCGTTCGGGCTCCGCTTGATGGCTTGTCTAGTGATGTCACTTGATGGTTTCCTCAGAGTATGGCCAATCCATCTCCATTTCTTCTTGCCTATTTATTTCACAATCGGTTCCTAATGATCGTTGAAAAACTTCTTGTGTTAGTTTCACCATGGTCAATTCTTCTAGCATTCATATTTATCTTTTTTGACGAACAATGACTGCAAAGTGCTGATTGATTATTTCATATTGGTTTTGTTTAATGTCATCCTAAGGGATGTGTTCAATGTTCTAATGTCGAATTTGTACATATGTATAGTTTATTTAAATAAGCCTTTTTCTCCTGTTACTCATAGATTATGCGGTTCATATGAAGCATTGAAAGGTGGTACAACAAGTGAAGCATTAGAAGATTTCACGGGTGGGATAGCTGAAATGTTTGATTTAAAGAAAGATACTCGACCAGATTTACTGTCATTGATGTTAAAAAGTCAAGAGTTGTGCTCATTAATGGCGTGTTCAATTCAAGCTGATCCAAATCAATTTGAAGCTAAACTACCGAATGGTTTAATTATGGGTCATGCTTATTCAGTGACATCAGTTAAAATGGTAAGGCGGAAATAACCATTTTCGACAAATTATATAATTTATTCGACTTTTTTTTAATTATTCTGATTGGCTTAAAGTTTTTAGCGCTCATTTTAAACTTCATTTTGAAGTTAGCGCTTTACAACCTATTTGAAAATTACATACGAATATAGACAAATTGCAGTTAAAGGACACATTTTTGGCTGGTTGTAACAGTATGAAATGAAAAGAATTCAACGCATTTTTGTTAGATGAAAAATTAGAAGCGATGATATGGTACTCTTCAAAATACGTCAATTTTTTTTTATATAAGCGCCACTAGAATACGAGTAAAATCAAAACATTTTTGAAGACATAAAGCCATGTCAAAAAGAGCGCAAAAGCGATTGACAGCTCGAAAAATATATGATCTTCATCACAGTCTGAAGAAATGGTGAAACAAATACCCAACAGAAGTGATGAAGATTCCTGGCTAACAGAAACAGTAACAACAACAACAGACAACGATCAGCGTAAATAGGAGGAACCTGAAAGAAACTACCTCCTTCACCTATCGACCTGGGAAGCATCGTTTCGACTACAGGGGAACGGAACTGACGAGGATATCAAAGCAAAGATCGGGAAAGCGAGACAAGCTTTCATTTCTCTTAAGTCTGTGTGGAGGTGAACAACACTCAGCATCAAAAATAAGATCCGGATTTTCAACTCCAATGTGAAGTCAGTGCTACTATACGGATCAGAGACTTGGCCAGCGCGTCATAAAGAGCATCTCAAACAAAGTACAGACCTTCATCAACAGCTGTCTTCGCTCAATACTCAAGATCAGATGGCTGGCCAGAATAGGTAAGCAACAGGGATCTCTGGCAATAAGCGAACCAACCAGGAACCGATTGTGCAACAAATATGCAGGAAGAAATGGAGGTGGATTGGCCATACTCTGAGGAAACCATCAAGTGACATCACTAGACAATTGGAACCCGAACGGGAAGCGGCGAGTTGGTCGTCAGTGCAAGGGTGACTTGGAGGAGGTCATGTGAAGAGGAGATAAAAGCGTGTGGGCAGACATGGAGCCAGGTGACAACTTTAGCAGAGAACCGAACGCAATGGAGACGTGCAGCTGAAGCCCTATGTTCCTCTAGGAATTAAAGGAAATAATAATAATAAATAATATACCCAACATGGAATTAACAGATTTCAGAATGACGAAGGATGTCAAACAACAGGAAAGATAGAGGTAAATGATAATCAGTGTATGTATTCTTCAACCCCAAGCCCCATGTATCTACTCTGTATGACGAGAGAACCATCGGGAAATCAAACCAGAACAAATGTTTTATCGATCAAAATATGAAATATTCTTCGGAATCAGAAATATAATGCGATATTGTCTCCTAAGTTAACCACACAGCGTGCCTGAGAAAACAAAAGTAACACGACTGCATGTAAAAACCGCGTGGATACTTGCTCCTATATCTGCAGTTTAACCATTCAACTTGAAAAGTGAGTCCATAGATCAAAAACTGTAGGCTAATAGATTTGGGAAACTGTTCACCGCAACAAGCTTCACTTAGTTCTAGAATTGTATCACGAGCTCACGTTGGTTAGAGAACCATTGGAAAACCACTAAAGAGTACTGACAGACACCTGTTTCGTCAGCCTAGTTTGGGCCTCTTCAGCAGTACGCAGCCATCCCATCGCCACAGAACCTTCCGGTCACAAGGTAAGCCATCTGGTAGACCATCCAGCCACTGAGACCCACTCCAATAACCAGTCCACTAATTCCAACCTCTGCGGATTCACGATATAACATGACCACTAGACAATGTTATCAGCCAAAAGTTAGAATTCATTGGTCATTGAATCAGGTTCGACTGGCTTAATAATGGTCTACGAGCAAGCTTGACTCGTAACTGGAAGGCCTTGAGTTCGAGCCCTGGAACCTCTGGAGAGTCCCAAACTAGGCTAACGAAATAGCTGTTTGGCAGTACTCCCTAGTGGTTTCCCAATGGTTGTCTAATCGGTATTAGCTGATGATGAAACCGTGTAACCCATGAAATCTCTGCAAACCAACAGCTGAACTTCATTTAGTTCATTGGTTTTCTTCATATACTCATCTGAGTTCAGTGATCTATCAGAACTAATCGAAATGAAATCAATTTTTCTTACAAACTTTCTCACTTAAATACAATAATGTATGAATTGATTTATTTAAATAACACTAATTCATATGAATATGGTAGAGATCAACACAAGTGAAACCTATAAAAGACAGTCAAGGGAACCCAATTACCAAGGAAGAAAGACAGATTAAACAATGGGCGGACCACATCAGAGGACTCTTGAACCGACCACCACCTACAACCCGTCCAGAAATACCAACAACAGCGCGTACACAACTGCAAGTTGACACCAATCCTCCAACGAAAGCTGAAGTATTGGATGCAATCAAGCTTCTGAAAGCTGGAAAAGCAGCTAGACCAGATGGAATACCCCCGGAAGCACTGAAAGCGGACCCAGAGACGACAGCAGATATGCTGACTCCACTATTGCAAAAGGTCTGGAAGGAGGGAAAGGTGCCTACTGACTGGAGGAAAGGTTACCTCGTGAAACCTCGTGGATTCAGGAAAGGCAAATTGTTCTGACCAAATTGCAACTCTACGCATCATCATCGAACAAAGCATGAAATGGCAATCAAACCTCTACCTCAACTTCCTTCATAGACTTTGAGAAGGCTTTCGACAGCGTTGACCGAGAAGTAATTTGGAAACTACTCAAGTACTACGGCGTATCCCAAGTATTCATCAACCTTATTCAACAGCTGTACGACAACGGCACATCTCAAGTGATCCACAACGGAAAACTCAGCGAAGCGTTTGGAGTAAACACAGGAGTCAGACAAGGGTGCTTATTATCACGGATGATATTCCTCATTGTGGTGGACTGGATTATGCGTCAGACAGTGGGAAACGAGAAGACAGGGATATCCTGGACCGAAGTGAAGAACCTAGAAGACCTGGATTTCGCGAGTGGATGATTTATGTTTGATGTCACACAAAATCGAAGACTTACAAGCGAAAACCGACAAACTGGTCGAAGAAGCAGCCAGGGAAGACAGGACTCCAGGTGAATATAGACAAGACGGAGGTTATGAAAATAAGCAACCAACAACAACAACAGCAACATCCAACACCAATCACCATCAACGGGAGGGATTTGAAAGAGGTTACTTCTTTCACTTATCTAGGAGGAGCATTAACTCAACCACAGGAGGAACGGACGACGATGTTAAATCGAGAATCGGGAAGGCGAGAAAAACATTCATCAACCTGAAACCAATCTGGAAATCTTCGTCACTAAACTCAGCATCAACAACAAAATGATTCGGATTTTCAATACAAACGTCAAGTCAGTTCTTCTATACGGATCAGAAACTTGGCGGGTCACCAAGAATATTTTCAACAGCCTGTTGCAGACCTTTATCAACAACTGTCTTCGCTGGCTCTATACTAAAGATCAGATGGCCACCGGAAAGAATCACCAACAAGAAACTATGAGAACAAACAGAACAAGAACCAATCGCCAAACGAATATGCAGGAGAAAGTGGAGATGGATTGGATACTCGCTGAGGAGGCCGCTGGGTGACATCGCGCGTCGGGCCAGTGCTTGAGTGGAACCCGAAAAGGAAGCGATGAGTGGGACGTCGATGCAAGGGTGACATGGAGGAGATCGTGTGAAGAGGAGCTGAAACAGTATGTACTAACATGGATGCAGGTGAAAAGTAGAGCAGAAGACAGAAGCAAGTGGAGACGTGTAGTTGAAGCCCTATGTTCCACTAGGAACCCAAGGGAACAATAATAATAATATTATGAATATGGAAACTACTTTAACAATATGGAGTGACCTTAAACTTCATAAAACTCATTTAACAGCTATGTAATTGCTCCACCTGCCAAGTGATTCACAACACGAAGCTCAGTGAAGCTTTTGGAAAGTAGACCGGAGAAACACAAAACCATGTAGACCTCTGACAACCAACCAAGCAAGAACGTGTTGCCTAACCAATATGCTGGAGAAAATAGGGCTGGATTGGAGATACGCTGAAGAAACCACTGAGTTGCTTCAAATACCAGGCTCACAAGTGGAACCCCAGCGGGATACAGTGAATTAGGTGCCCAGGCATGACATAAAGGAGATTTTGTGAGAAGGAAACGACAGCTCATGGGTAATCGTGGTATCAACTGAATGGTATGGTAGAAAACTGAATGCAATGAATGTGTGCCGCTGAAGCCCCTTGCACTATTCGAAACGCCAAGAATGAATAGTAATAATGATTACGGAAATGAGAAACACAGCGTTTTATTTTTAAAAACTATATAATAATTTGATAACAGCATTATATACGATAATATTTTTAAGAAAACCAAAGCTCATCTTCCTTATAAAGTCAATGTCAGTTGTGTAGAATATTAAAAGACTGTCCAGCAAACACAGAACTAATACAGATCAATAGCAATCTAATTTGCTAATGTTTTGATGCCTTGTAAAATGAGTAACTGGCATCAGTTATCCTGGGAACACTGTCTATAGCCAAGACGAAGTTTATTATTATTATTCCCTTGAGGTCCAGGTGTAACATAGGGATTCAACAACACACCTCCATTTTTTCCTGTTCTCTGAAGTCCGTTTGAGCTGGTTCCACGATTACCCATAGGCTTTTATCTGCTCCTCGTACCATCTCCTGCATGTCACCCGCAGACGTCCAACTTGTCCTTTCCAATCCGAGTTCTACTCGAGGGCACTGTTAAGAATTCTCCTTAAGGTTTCCAAGGTTTCTTCTTTGTATTAAGTGCTACTGATGACTTAAATTTCTCATTTTTTTTCTAATAAACAAATGATAAATTGTATCTACCAATTCAACAGCACTTATGGTGGAGCAAGTCATATTGGCCGTTGCTCTAGGAACTTTATTTTTCGTGCTCGCTCGGGAACATCTACCATTGTGGCTGAATAAAGGTGTAGTAAAAACCGTCAGCATTTCGTTATTAGACCACCTGGTCCAAACCTGCCACAAAGCCAGCATTGAAGAATCTTTCTCCATCATCTATCGGGTACCAAGTAAACTGCCAATAACATCCAGGCACCGCATACTCCAAACACCAGAGGCTGACACGATTCGTGTGAAACAACCGGTGCTCTGTATGTAGAAGAAACATGTCCAGCCACTAATACTGCCCTGGCCTTCATTGGAAACCATAAATTCATGAATTTGTATTATTATCCTTCCTAATTTTTCTGATATTCGGTGTATTGTTATTTTGATGACATTGAACTGTAATCCACTGATATTGCTACTATTGATTCGATATTATTTAAACAACATTAATGTTGTTAATAACACTAATTCATTCAAGTGTTGGTTTGTAGGGATTTGATTGGTTACAGGATTTTCATCATGAGCTGACATTAGTTAGAGAACCATTGGAAAACCTGGGAGTACTGGACAACCGTTTCGTCCTAGTTTGGGACTCTTCATCAGTACGCACTAGCGACTTGCCCTATTCAGGTAGGTAGTTACCTTGGGTTCTAGTGAGACGTCGTGACCAGTAGGGTGCAGCAGGTCGGGTGTGAGGACAAATACTCGCCAAAGAAATTGGCTAGGGATAGCGCTATGTCATGAATTGGCAGAAGTTAGAATTCATGGGCTGGCCATTGGATCGGGTCCTAGTGGCTTGATGGTCTACGAGCTCGCCTTGTAACCAGAAGGTCCTGGGTTCGAATCCCGGTGTGTGCGTACTGATGAAGAGTCCCAAACTAGAACGAAACAGCTGTCCAGTATTCCCAGGTTTTCCAATGGTTCTCTAACTAATGTCAGCTCATGATGAAAATCCTGTAACTAATTCATTCATTGACTATTATGTATATATGACTATAGAACCTGGTGAAGAGGAGGTTACCGAAAAGAATATTCTATGTTCAGTAACCATTTATTTGAAAAAGATTTTAATGGGCATTTTTAATCATTCAATTTGGAATTACATTTTACAACAGTGCGCAAGTTATGCATACATTAACTGTACGAAACTGCACATGTTTTTCACTTTGTATATCTTTTGTTGTTGTTTTTTTAGTTGGACATTTCACTACCAGATAAGAGTGGTAAAATCCCACTAGTTCGTGTACGTAATCCATGGGGTGATGAATCAGAATGGAAAGGTGCATGGAGTGATAAATCAAGAGAATGGTCACTTATACCACCTGAACAAAGGCAACAACTTGGTTTAACATTTGAAGATGATGGAGAATTTTGGTAATTTACTCAAATGAAAGTTGTTGTTTTTTTTAAAAATTTTATTTGTAAAATTTAACTCTGTATTGACCATTTTACAATTCTCTCCCCTTGTAATCTGTTGGTTTATAGGTGTGTTATGTCATGTAGAAAAAAGAAAGAAGAGTGGATTTGCCTTTATCTTGCTGATGAACTTGTGTCTGAAAAGATTAGCATTACAATGAACTAGGTTAACTGATGATATTAGATGGTTGGAGGCAATCGGCAGGAAGCCTTGAACCTAGGTTTCGTTCTAGTTGGCACTCGTCAGCAAGGCGTATCTGCAACCTTGAAGGAACTCATGTCCATTCTGAGATTCGAACCCGCGTCACCCAGTGCTGCAGTCAGAGACGTTACCACTGAGCTATTCGGGCTCGCGATTGATTTCCTGTAGGACTGTAGTGGATATTTGGATTTGACACTAGTAACTAGTGCGATGCGTCTAGTCCTCTCTTTGGTGCAGACTGAATTCTATCAGTCAGGTTGTAATGTGGCCACCATTCTAGGTAGCTCGCCATCATGGTGTACATTGTTTGTGATAATATTAGATGGTTGGAGGTTAGGTTAACTATTCAAATAATATTTATTAGTTGATCACTATTCACTTTCATAAATGATAAGCAGGTTCAGAAAGAATAATGTACTATAACATGAGCTGGGTCAGTGTAGATTAGCGAGGTTTTTTGTGGTAAGTTAAAGCCTGAATCTGATGCATTTATAGTGCAAGAGTAGAATCTTCGCTAATCAGGCACGTGGTCCATGTGCGATCTTTCGGTGATGCTCTGCTAAACCTCGTTTAGTTAGTTGTAGCTCCGGTTGGAGTAGGAGGAGGGGAGCATGAGACTAGCAACCCCAATCCTCAAAAAGACACCAAGGCTACTGAAATTTCACAGCTTAGACCTGAAATCCTATGTTTCACTTAGAACGCAAACGAATAAAATGTATTTCGGGATATTATCATGAGCTCACCTCGGTTAGAGAACCATTGGAAAACCACTAGGGAGTAGTGTCAGACAGTTGTTTCGTCAGCCTAGTTTGGGACTCTCCAGCGGTACGCACTCACCTCCAGGGCTCTAACTCAACGTATTCAGGTTACAAGGCAAGCTATCTCGTAGACTATTATTAAGCCAGTCGAACCTGATTCAATGGCCAACGAATTCTAACTTTTGGTTGATAACATTGTCTAGTGGTCATGTTATATCGTGAATCCGCAGAGGTTGGAATTAGTGGACTGGTTATTGGAGTGGGTCTCAGTGGCTGAATGGTCTACGAGCTGGATTGCCTTGTGACCGGAAGGTTCTGTGTTCGAACCGTGGCAGTGAAGTGGGTGCGTCCTGCTGTAGAGTCCTAAACTAGACTAACGAAACAGGTGTCTGTCAGTACTCTTTAGTGGTTTTCCAATGGTTCTCTAACTGATGGGAGCTCATGATGAAATCCGGAAACCAATGAATTCTATTCAAGCCAACACTTTAATAAAAATTAGGTCCAAGTCTGCTATCCTGCATATCATTTTCAAATGGCTCAAAACCTCACACTACTTTTTTTAATTTTTCGCCTTTCTAGTTGAACAAGCCTTAAGCTTTGAAATTTCATTAGCGTGGTATTTTTTTGACTTTGGGGTGGGTGTTGCTAGGCTAATGCCCAATCTTCCTTCTTTTTCCTGGCTAACTACCGAACTTGGTGAAAATTTAGTGTGTATTAACTGGGAAAGGAATTCTTATCTCCTAGATGGCCAGTATGCATCATATCGCCAAACCACTGATGCACATATTACTTTTTTTGTCGATAATCTTGTGGTGCGTACTACTCACAGGAATACAAAAAAGTAGTATATTGACGACTTCACAGAAAAGAAATTGTGATAAGCTTTGGAATCCTACAAAACAGAAAGGTAGTTCTGGGGAAAGTTATGAAGAGGGTTCTTGTCAAATATCAGCCGAATCCACGTACTGCATATTTAAACTCATTCCGTGAAACAGATCATTTATGTCCCAAGCTGGGAGTGACAATTATTTTCTGACGACTGGTGATACCACAGAGTTTTCCAGTCCAGAGTAGGTAGAGTGAGACTTGAATCTAGGACTCACCGACTGAAAAAGAAGTGCTGAATCCAATCAGCAATGTCTTCATGCAAATATTATTTAAATGCAATAGTTTTAGTGTCTGTAAACGTGAAATATATATGTAAATATAATAATAATTTGCTTTATTCCAGAAACAGTACTAGTGGTACAGTGTGGAATTTTCAGCACATATCTACAATATTTGCATCTAATTTTACAAACATTTAAAAGGAGTATTTAAAAAATATATTAAAAAAATAAATCTAAAGACATCAACAGCAAAAAAACAGGATAAACACAAAAATAATTATGAATGCGAAAAAATACCAAGAAGTAGAAAGGAAAATAAACATCATCTAATAATAACTCAGTATTGAGTAGTGGAAGCTATGATATGATTATGCATGGTGATAGTAAAGCTATAGTCATACAAGAAGTTATGAGATGATATTTAAGAATGTTTATCGCCAAGATGATCAGTTAATTTGGTTGAAACAACTCTAAACAATCATAAAATAACAATTCAGGGTTGTTGTTTTTTATTGTCAGGTCTAATGCAGTGTTTGTAGTAGTAGTGTGAGTAATCCTGCATAATACGAAATTTTAAGGTGGTGACAATGGCGTTCACAACCAATGATTGCCAGTTCAATATTGCCGAAAAAAATAGAAAATAAGAAAAAACAACCACAAAACTAATAATTACATGATGGTTAATGACAGGAAAATTTTGTAATTCTCATAGTGCTAATATAGTCGGAACCAGTGGATACACAATATAAGGAATATATTAAAGTACAAAAAAGGAAGCCAATGTTAATAATTTAGGTAGCTAAGTATGTTTACGAAGGAGTTCACTATAGAATACAAAATAAGAGAGAAATAAAAGAGCCTAAAATTATGTTGTTAATAACAAAGCAAGTCATAGGTTTCACGCTTAACATTGTCTCTGTCGCTTACAACACAAGTTAATTGAGGTAACAACGGTGGAAGACAAGAGACTTGCTAACGGAATGTTTATTTAGAATTTGATGTCTGTATATAAGGAAATTTTGTACACCTTATCTGAAAATCATCATTTGCACAGATCTTCCGTGTTACGCCACCTTTGCCCTCCATATTGTGTTTCCTTGTATTATTTTCGTATCTCTCGTGTTTTGCCGCTTTACTGGTTTATTTCCTCCCTTTGACGTCAAGTCTATTTGAAATTTCTTTGCCAACGAGCATCTCTCTATGTACTACTGATAAATCTTATCAGTAGCATACGCCACAAGGTGAACACATACTGAAGCACACACGCACACACACAATGGTTTCTCATCCTAACTCAAATGGAATAAATAAAGACAACTACCTTAGCACACTACCTTTAGGCATGTTGGAGTCTAAGATATGTCAACAGAACAATAATGACTATTATTATTGTTACTATTATTCATTCCTTTGGTTACAAATGGAACATAGGGCTCCAACAGCACATCTCCGCAACACTTGGTTCTGTTGCATCAACACTTTCAACCAGTTTCACGACTTTCCACAAATTTTCAATGCGCCTCCATATTATCCCCAAAATCCTATTTGGTTTTCAATCGAATGAGAAAGTATTTTAAAATAGAAAAGGATGGCGCGTTTTTTCGCATATCTCTATAATCCATGAAGATTTGTTAATATTCTATCAAACGGAACTTTTTCACGGATTCTACACCAGTCGGTAATCAGGCATAGTTGAAACATAAGATAGATACGATGCTACTGTTTACAAACAAAACAGATTTCGTTTTAGATGCCAGTGATAAGCTTTTTTTTAGAAAGATGTGAATTAATAAACAGGCCGAACATCCACACAATAGACAGACACACAAACATGAAAAGATTAGCTGTCTTCGATCATAGGTGTCTGCGTTCTATCTCCCGCGTGTAGTGGCATAATAAGATGAGCAATATTGAGGTTAGGCTTCGGTCGAGTGCTAGGTAAGGAGGGGAAATCAATCGACGAAACTGTGAAATTACATCGACTGAGATGGTTAGGATATGTGTTACGTATGCCTAGTCATCTCCTTCCTCGACAATGGGCAATGTTACCTGATATAGGGTCAGGCTGGAAAAGAGCTAGCGGCGGTCAAACCAAAACATGACTTCATCAGTCAATGAAATCCACAACAGTTAGTTTAAGCCACGTAGGAAGGTGTAGACTTCCTGACTGGTTGGGGTCCTCGGGACGGTAAAACCAATGGTTGGAAACAATTGGTGATATGGCTCAAAATCGTTCTCAATGGCTGGCGCAGATGCATCCACTCCTTGTGACTTATGATTTCCAATGAAACTGTTTTGTTCTTCGTTATTACTATTCCTTTGTCTCACACCTCTGTTTACTGTCTATACTATGCATTTCTCCTACTTTCTTCTCTTGCTTTGTGTGCTACAAGGAGGGAGTGTGGCGACTTGAACTGGCGCACATATGTGCAAAGTTCTATGTCGAAAAAGAAGAAGAAGAAGACACACAAACTTATAATCGGGTAGACTTTATGAAGAAGAAGTGATTAAGCAAACTCATTAATCTCAATAATACTCAGTCAGTCAGAGTTTATCACAAAAACTCGAAGATATACAGCCAAGGACCAACATGGTTGAAAGGAGAAACGGTGAAGACAGGATTTCAAGTGAACATAGAGAAGAACAACAACAAGAGGCATCGATCACCATCGGTCGGTGAAGTCTAAAAGAAGTCATCTCTTGCACTTATCTAGACAACATCACATATTGCCTACAGGAGGATGTTAAAGCCAACCTGCATGGGAAAAGTAAGACAGGCCAGCAATAATCTAAAATCTGTGTGTAAATGGATCTACTGCAGTCAGTACAAGGAATAACATCTGGTTCTGTAACATTATAACATCAAATCCACGCTTCTATGTGGTTCAG